ATCCCAGGGTCCTGGGATCGAGCCCCACATCAGGCTCCTGGCTCAGCGAGGAGCCTGCTTCTCCCTCTCCCTCTGCCTCTCTCCCTGCTCATGCTTTCTCTCTCTCTCTCTCTGTATCTCTGTGTCTCAAATGAATAAATAAAATCTTTAAAAAAAAAAAGAAAGTGCTCCCTCTCATTCAGAAATATTATAAAGGCTCACTTCTGTGTTCTTCTAGTTTAAGAAGTGATTTGCTATTATATGTTGACCTTCTTAATCTCCCTGCGTTTACCTAAGTGGAGCACGGGGAGAGGTGACAGGATCCAGCCACACTTGTGGGAAACCCTTCCCCTCCCCACTTATCTTTTTAGTGTCCTATGGTACAAAAGGCCACACATTGTATGACTACGTGTACATGAAATGTAGATTTCAGAATAAAGAAATCTATAGACAGGACGTAGGTTAGTGGGGGAGCGAATCAGGAGTACAGGGTTTCTTCTGAGGTGATGAAAACATTCTGGGAATAGAGGTGATGGCTGCACAGCTCTGTGAATAACCTAAAAACCCCAGAGTATATGCTTTAAAATTAAGAGTAAAATTTATGATATGTGAATTATATCTCAATTTTTAAAATGGACAAAAGTAAATTCTTAGCCTTAAACACACTTTGATTCATTTTAGAAAGGAAGAAAATTGATCACTGTCTTTAACTTAGCAAATTGGAAGAGCACAAGTAGTAATCTTGAGGAAAGAAGAGGAATAAAATCACATATATGAGAAATTAATAACTTAGGAAATAAAAACTAATCTCAAAAGTGGTTTAATGCAGGAGAAAAACAAGGAAGAGATGAGGAGAAACAGAAGGAGGACATCCTGCAGCAGGTGTAATCCACACAAATCACAGACCACATGTGGTCAGAACGTGTAATAATAACAGATACGGACATTTTAATTATAAAAGGATACTTCCTAATGCAGGACTTTATGCTAATACATACTCCATGAAATAGGTTAAATTTCTGTGAAAAACAAACCAAAACAATAGAACAGATTCAAGAACCATCAAAGAACTTGAATATTCAATATTCAAGGGAATTCAACAATATTCAGAGGGAAAACACTTTCCAGTAATCAAAGTATTTGTCCCAATAACGAATTTGCCAGGTAGTTTTGTAGATAATTTCTTAGGATTCTAAAGACACAGAAATTCCTTTGCTCTATTTATGTACTGATCTCGGCACATGGAAAAGATATAAATCTGCCAGATTAATTGTGTAAAAGGAGCATCTCATATCAAACCTCAGCAGACAGCACAAAGAAAATTCCAGAAAAGAGCCTTCCTTAGGACTATAGGGCTGGAGCTGAGTACTGACAGCCAGGGTCAGCTAGCAGGTGGGGTTTGTGTGGCCACACTCCATTGCTGGTGGGGACATTTCGAGTGAAGCCAGTGTTTTCAAATTGAGAGGTTCCACACAAAATCCGGATTCCTGGCTACTCTAGAAAAATGAAAAGATCTGAAGCCACAGAGCCCGTATCTTGCACGAGGACAATAGGCTGAAGTGGACTGGGGCCATGCCTTCCGTTGGGTCATTTTCTCTCCATATGACATTGACCACAGGGAGGGGGAGGAGTGGATTATTGGAAGCTGTCATTGCTCAGTGTGGACATTTTTGTTTCTCTGAGATGTATAGTTGTGCTCTTAGGTGATTTCTGTGGTGGCTTTGACCCAGTGGAGTTTTGAAGGACAAAGATCTATCTTGTGGAAGGTGTATTCCCTCTTTGACTGTTACTCAACTCATCAGGCTCTTGGGTTTATTGGGGCTACTTGTGATGCAGGAGTTTGTGGCTCTGCCCTCAAGGGGTGGAGTGGGGTGTGATAAGCACATGGCTTTGTGTTTTCAGGCTCATCTGCCCTCGTAGCAGTGTCCGAGGCAGTGAGTGGCCCAGTGCGGGGCTCACTGACCGTGCAGTGTCGCTATGAACCCGGGTGGAGGACCTACAATAAGTGGTGGTGTCGAGGAGCTGAGTGGAAAGGCTGCCATATCCTCGTTCAAACCGATGGATCAGAGCGGGACAAGAAGGGTGACCGAGTGTCCATCAAGGACAATCACAAATTGCGCACATTCACCGTGACCATGGAGGAGCTCAGGTGGAACGATGCAGACACTTACTGGTGTGGGATTGAGAGATCTGGACCTGACCTTGGGGTTCAAGTTAAAGTGACCATTGACCCAGGTAAGAGTTTATGTGTGTGTGTGGATGTGTCTCTTCAGGACCTGCTCTGTCCTGGTCTCTGAGGTTCCTCTCCAGTGACTTAAGGCCACTCGGAGTGAACTGTTACACAGGGGGGTTGAGTCCTGAGTTCTTCTAGGACCCCAACTGACCCCATGGGTTGGGAGGGACAGGGCTTCTCTTAGATGCTCTCATGGCTCCCAGGACCTCCTCCAGGATGGGATCAAGCCTTTCTGGGCACCTGTTCCTCTGCACAGCACAGTGCTTGAGTCTATTGTCCATAGAGATCAAGGTCATGGTCCCAGTTTCATCCGTGGACCAAAGGACCTTCTTCCTTGGGACCCAGAGAACCCAATTCCTGCTAATGCTTTCCTGGACCTCTGGTGCCCACATGTCCCTGCTCATTCTGGAGTTTGGGGCCAGGCTATTCCCACTGCCTGTTCCATACCCAGGCTGAGAGGGAAGAGGCCCAGCACAGTGGGGGTTCTGTGGTTGATTCCTGAGGCCCGAAAAGGCCTTCCCCGTCAAAAGGCTGCATTTCTGGTGCCTGAAATCCCATTACAGGCCATATATGCATTTGGGTCTAATGATGTTCTCTTCTTAAGTACTTCTAGAATGCAGACACTCCTGGCAGGGGGCAGCTCAGAGGTCCCAGTGCCTTGGTTTGAATGAGCTGGTCTGTTGGGCTCTGCTTCTCTGACCCCCAGATAAGAAGCACCGGCTCACAGGGCCCTTGTGGCCAGGGGACAGCATGGAGTCTACAGAGCCCCCACCCTACCTGGACCTGTGAGGCATGTTACTGCTGCAAAGGGTAGCACTTTCACTGTCTCACCGAATGTGGAAAATGTTCCCGAGAAGTGACTCTCCTCCCTGTAGAAGCTTAATAACTTGCCCAAAGCAAAGGCTCTTCCTGAACATTGTGAGTTTGTTCAGGGGTGGTCCTGACCTTAGAAGTCACAGATCTTGGGAGCGTTAGCCACCAGGCCAGCTCCTCCTTCTGCTCCTGTCCTTTCTGGATAAACGAGACTGGGGGAGGCATTGGCAGACACCTTGTCATAAGCAGTGGCTGAACTCCAGCTGCCTTTGCCCTGAGGTAACATTAGGCCCCCTCTAATCTTTCCAGGGCCCGCTTGACATCCTCCCTGGACCTGTACCCAGTCCTTCCTGCCCCTGAGGCTGAGTCTCCTAGTGGCCAGGGAGATATGAGCAGTCCAGGCTATAGAACTTTCCCATGGCCCAGCTCCAGGCTCCCCCGCCCACCCCAGGCTCAAAGCCACGTGGAGGGCCGTGGGCAGGTTAGCAGGCTGAATAGTGCATAATCTGGTTTGTATGCCTAGCACCAACTACAGTATCAACCACCACCACCTCAACCACCATGTCCGCAGCACCAGCAGAGACCAAAGGCCCCCCGACTGTGAGCCACGCCTCCAATGGCAGGTAAGCCAGCTCCGGTGCACGGTTCCCTGCGGTCGACTTGGCCCAGACTCCTCCAATGAGGGGACCTTTGCAGTCCCAGGTGCCAGCCAGAGCTTGTCCCGAGACCATTTTCCTCCTTTGAGAGGGTGAGGAGGCCAGGGGCTCTTCCCACTTGCTATCAGGCCCCACAGTGTCCTTGGAGCCCCTCAGATCCTTCCTCCTGGAGCCCAGTACAGTTTGTAGATGTGTTGGTGCATTCACTCTTCTATCTCATTTTTACTGAATTAACTTCTACATGGCCAGCCCTTTGTTGAGCTCTGGAGGCATAGACATGGAGCTGCCCCCCAGGAGCTCAGAGTGCAGGGTGGGAGACTGATGAGCAGGTAGTCAGTGCAGATGGTGAGACCACTGTGTGTGTGTGTGGGGGGGTACCAATATCGTAGGGCCACAGGGGCAGCTCTTGGTCCAAATGCCAGGAGAACAGGGAGGACTTGGAGACATCCTGTTCCCCCTAATTACCGTTATGGCAAGAATAGCAATACCGATGTTTGCCCCATCTCGAGAGCACCTGTCAGCTCACAGAGGGCTTTTCTGTCCATTGTCTGTTAATTCTTGGACCCTGCTTCATGAGGACGAGCAGGCAGATACAAATGCCCATTTTATAGAGGAAGAAACCGAGTCTCTCTCATGCTTCTTAGCTGCCCAGCCAATGCAGCTGAAGTGGCTTTCTGGAAGCTCAGAGGCCTCTTCTCATCGCCTCCTTGGCCCTTTTGACTTTGTTTCTAGACTTGCTGTGATCTCCTTTTGCTGGGCTTTCTTGTAGAATCTGGATGGGAGGTCCCCAATTCTTCTACCCCCACCCAGGACCCCCTCTCTTCACCTCTCCCATTTGCCCTCTGTTTCAAAAGTTTCTTTTTACTAACCTGCTTTTAATAAGTAATAGTTAAGGAGTTTCCTCTTTTGATGAATCAAAGCTGTATATAAGTATCAATTAGGGTCTTTGATCAGCATGAGATGGATTCATTCATTCATTCAAATAATTATTGAGCCTCCACTCATGCCTATCACTCTCTTGGGGAATACAAGAGGGTACTAGGAAGAACAGAATGATCAAGCTGTCTGCATTCCAGGTACTTACAATTGAAAGATAATTAATGTGCCAGATAGAGTTAATTAATTCATCGATTGATGAGTTTATTCTATAAATTCTGTGACTAGTGATGAATAAGAGATAGTCTTTGCATTAGACTCAGGCTCAGGCTGCCTTAACAAAGCACCACATCCCGGGCCACTTCAAGAACAGATGTTTATTTATACACAGTCTGGAGGCCAGAAGCTGAGATCAAGGTGTCAGCATGGTTGGTTCCTTCTTGGGTCTCAAAAGGAGAATGTGGTGGCTTTTGGCCATCCTTGTCACTCCTTGCTTTATGGCACTGCGACCTCAATTTCTGCCTCTGTTGTCACATGGCCTTCTTCCTTCGCATATCTGTGTGTGGCTAAATTTCCCTCTTGTAAGGACACCAGCTATTGGGTTAGGACCTCCCAATCCAATAGGACCTCATATTAACTTGATTACATCTGCAAAGATCTTATTTCCAACTAGGTCACCTTCACAGGTTCTGAATGAACATGAGTTGTGGGGATGGGGGACACTCTTTAATCCAGTACAGCAGGGGCAAGTGTAGAAGTGGAGAGACCTTTCCAGAGCCCGTTGCCGTACAATTTCCGTTAGGTGTCTAGACCCACAGGAACATTGTGGAACCCTCCTATCCTTTAAAAAAAATTCTTTTTTTACCATCTCTGAGGACACCCAGGAGTGGGGTTCCCAGGCTAGAAACCCCAGGCTTGCAGGTCAAAAGGTGTGTGGCCCTCCTTGCTACCAGGTGGCCGGGGTGTGGCCCAGAAGCAGGAGGTGGGCCGGGGTGCATGGTGTTCTTTTATTGTTTCCAGTGCTAACTCCATGAAGCTCAGCATCCTGATTCCCCTCATCTTGGCTGTGTTGCTGCTTCTCCTGGTGACGGCCTCACTCTTGGCTTTGAGAAGGATGAAGCCGCAGAAGAGAGGTGATCAGATATGGCTGACGCTGCACTGGGGCTGGGCTGGGCTGGGTGGGAGTGTGGGGCTGATGGCTGGCTCTGTTTCCACATTCTCACGGTAAATGCACCCCCCTCCTCAGAACTCACTAGGGTCTCAGCTCTTTTGGGGTGCTCTCCAGCACCCCTCTCCCGTCACAGCCTGGGGACTCTTGTAGTCAAGGAGGAGTGGGGGCTCATTCTTGCTCATCATGTTTCCTCCCCAGTGTATGTCTGCGACCTAAGTTCTAAGTACTTTCTGTGCTCCTCAATATCTAGGCTTTTGAAACTAAAAACCAGGAGAAAAGAACTTATTTCTGTGTTGTCTGTAAAATTGGGGGTGGGTGGGCAGAGAGAAACAGGAACCACAAGCACATGAAAGTTGGCCCATCAGATGCTGACCCGGCTTGTGCATCTCACTCAGAGGGCAGCCTGGAGGGGACATTCGTGTGCTAGGATTGGCCAGGCACCAGTGATGCAAGGAGGGGACAGGCTCAGCCGCCCAGCAGCCCACAGCCCACCTGAAGACTACCTGGAATTCAGTGGGACAGAGGCGACAAGACAGATAGAAATCAAGTACCGTGGAGCCGAAGACGGAGGGATTCAGCACCCTGGGTAGCTGGGAAGACAGGTGTGACTTTGAGTTGACTCCTGAGTGACCAATCTAGTAGAGAAATGGGGTCATTCCAGGCAGGATTTCTGGCAGAAGTTAGTCTGAGCCTGCAATTGCACAGAAGGAAACTTAACCCCAGGGACGCCAATTGGTGGCAGGGCCACCCGATCAGCTGATTGCCGTTCTGTGATGTGGGGGAGATGGGCAAGGTCTCCTTATTTCTCAGGTGGAGAACTGAAAGCTCAAAGAGGTGAAGTGACCAATGTCACAGGGTGTGTCATCCGAGGAGTCAGAACCAGGCTCTGAGCCTGGAGCCCAATTCACCTCTTTTCTTCCAGATTTCTCTTCCCCAGACCTGGGGGCCCTGCGAGTCTATGGGTGGGCTTTCTAATTCTGATTGTTTTTGTCTTTTAGCTGCTGGGATATCCCCAGAGCAGGTAAGAGAGTCCCTGAGGTCAGACCAGAGACCCCAGACAGCTTCTTTCTCTCCGTCCTCATTTTCCTTCTCCCAGGAGCACTGAGGTCCAAACATATCAGACAAACGATGTGCCCAAGTGTCTGTGTGTTCACGGCCTGGGAGGATGGGGGGTGGACTCTGGAAACAGCCAGAAGGGGGAAGGGCTGGAAGGGAGCAGGTGTGGGGGTTGCAGAGGAACCTGGGAGAGGGGGACCCAGGGAAGCACAGGGTCTGTGTCCCTCTGGGGAAGACGACCTGGGCTTTCTTTCCAAGGTGGTCCAGCCCCCAGAGGGGGAGCTCTGTTATGCAAACCTGGCCCTGGAGCCAACCAGCACCTCCCACAACTCCTCCCAGAAGAAGGCCTGTACAAAGTCCTCCTCCTCTGCCCTGGATGATCAGCAGGAAGTGGAATATGTCACCATGGTGTGTACTTGGTGGGGCTGCTGTGGGGCTTGGAGCCAGATCTGCCATTGCCCCTGCTCTGAGGATGGGCTTTCTCCCGCCCGTGGGGGCACAGAGGAGGAGGGGCAGGTGCTGGGTCAAGCCATAGCCATTGAAAGACTTGCCTGTGTAGCTCCCCCAGACTTTGGGCTTTTGGAAGTGTCTCCATAGCACTGGGGGACTCAGAGTCCCATTCGACATGGCCCTTATGCTTGGCAGCGGAGACCTGGACAGGCCTGGGATTCCATGTGAATTGTGCTGCCCTAGCGTGGAGTGGAGGGAGGGTCTTCTGCCCTGAAGGCTCTGTTCCCCCACCTCATCCAAGTCCTCCTCCTTCCCTGGACAAAGCCTCTTGCCTGCCTCTCTGACCCTGTGGGAATCTTTATTACAGGCCGCCCTTCTGAAGGAGGACATTTCCTACATGGCTCTGTCTTGGGAGGCTTTGAATGAGGAGTCAACCTATTACAACATGAACTACCATGTTGCCCACGTTCCCAGCAGGAGCCACGAGGAATCCACGGAATACAGCAGCATTAGGAGATCTTAGCCTGAGCTCCAGGCTCCCCTCTCAAACCCCACATGAAGCCTGTGAGCATGTTCCTGCTCTGTCTGCTTTCTGCCCCCATTCACTTCACGAGGACCAACCAGGGACTGAAGCCTCGGCCTTGTCTCAGGGGGCTTTCGGGAGGTAGATAGGGGTCTCTCTACATCCCTTTTTCTCCCATACAGCTTAAGAGGGGGTTGGGGATACGCTCTGGAGTTGCTGAGGGAGTAATAATGATAATGATAATAATAATAATTAACCTTTATTTATTGCTTAACATGTGTGGTGGGCTGAATAATGGCCCCCAAAGTTCTCTGCGTCCCAATCCCCAGAACCTGTGAATATGGCAAAAGGAGCCACGTGGATGTATGAAGTTGAGGGTTTTGAGATGGGGAGAGTATTCTGGATTCTCCAGGTGGGCCCTAAATATAATCACAAGGGTCCTTGTAAGAAGGAGGCAAGAAGGTCATAAGAGGAGAAGGCAGCCGATGACAGAGGCAGAGGTTGGAGTGATGTGGCCAGAAAAGGCAAGCAATGGATTGTCCCCTGGAGCCTCTAGAAGGAGCCAGCCCTGCCAGCACCCTGACTTTAGTCCAGTGAAACAGATTTTGTCCTGGCCTCCAGAATTATAGGAGAATAAATTGATGTTGTGTTAATGAATTCAGTAAACGTGTGGTCATTTGTTATGGCATCAACAGGAAACAGATATGCTATGTGGCAGGCATCTTCCCCAAATTCTCTACCCCCAGTAACTAGCTGAATCCTTGCAACAACACTATGAGGGCGTCTTTATCATTGCCTCCATTTTACAGATGAGGAATCGAGGTTCAGAGAGGTTCAGTGATGTACCAGGTTTTATCGCTAATTTAATTTGAACTTGGGCATTTGGGCTCCCGAGTCTGGCGTCTGGGCCACTGTCCTGCATGGCACGTCTAAGGACGAGGGGGTAGGAGCACTACTCGTGCAGGGATTGTTAGCGAGTATTCACAGGTGCCGGACTTACCACCTCTGTTCTAGAGTCCTGGCAGCCCTCCCTCCAGAGTATGTCCTGAGTCCCAGGATGGTGGCATGGCTCGTTGTCTCTGTGGTTACCGGCCAAGTCCAAGCAACCAGCCAGTCCCCTGCCCGCTGTCCCTCTTTCCTTTCCAGCCCCAGAGACCATACTCCTTCCAGCAGCCAAAGTGATCTTTTTAAAACACAGACCTGGTCACTTGCTGCTTATCACCTTCTGGTGGCTTCTTCTGCATGCAGCAGGAAGTCCCGGGGAAGCACGGGTCCCTGCCTGCCCCTATGACCCCAGCTCCAGCCACTCTCCTTTTGAAAAGATGAAGCTTAAGAAAAAAAAAGAAAGAAAGAAAAGACGAAGCTTGCTCTTTTCTCAGGGCATTGACACTTGCTGTATCTTCTTTCTGGAATGTTCTCCTCACAGATGTGTGACCAGTTAGCTTCTTTTATCATCACATCTTAGCTCAAATGTCCCCTCCCAGAGTAGACTTCCCTGACCACCTTAAAGGCAGTAGTCCCTGCCACCACCTCCAATTTCACTCTGTCCTGTTTCCCTGTCTTACTTCCTTCATAGCAGGCACAGCTTTATGAACTTATTTATTGGCATGTGGGTTTATTGTTTCCCCCCTCCACTAGGCTGTAGTTTGCCTGAAGGTGAGGACTTAGTCCCTTACTGCTGTATCCCCCTGCCTAGTTTTAAGGTCACATATATTGCGGATTCTTGAATGTTTTTATGTTGCCTTGAATGAATAAATAATGCGACAGTCCAGGCATGGGAACACGAGGCAAGCTTTCAGGAGCAGGGACACCTGAGTCTGTCATTCTAGGAAAAGGGTCCTGAGCCACCTGGGCAATCAAAGGAATTTCAGCATCAAACTCCCAGAAGCATGAAGTGGAGAGATTTCTTTCTCCCCTCCTAAAGCCAGGGGAGGCAGGAGGGGCCATGATTCCTCCTAACTGGAGGACAAAGTTCCATTACTTCACTTAGGTCTCTTTTGGTGGGTGCTGGGATGAAGCATCAGGGAAAGGAGTCATGGCTTGGGTAGAAATGATGAGCTAACCTCGGGCTACAGGCAGGCGCCCCAGCAGGTACAAGGGCTCTAGTCATGTTTATGGGCTGCTGTTAGTGTGTCCTGGGGTTGCCCAACTTCTCAGAGCTACAGATACCCCAGGTGGTCTGGGGGAGGTGGCCTTGGTGGATGTCCATCCCAGCATGTGTTGCTCTCTGCTCCTGTTCCCAATCCCTGAATGATGATTCCCTAGAACCTCAAGAGCAGTACCATCCAGGGGAAATTTGCAGAGTCTAGGCAAACTTAAATATTATTGGGCTGGTCATTTAAGCTGGCTGGGTCAGTGAGACTGTTTTGACCCAGAGCAAGAAGTGGCTACAGAGGGATCTTTAAGTGAAAAAGCTCAAAGCAGAACAAGACTAGAGTGAGTCGAAGTATAAGAATAATAGAAAGCCTTGGGTCAGTGCATCACTGGGCCATTTTAGCTATTGTGCATAAAGTAGCTTTATTGCTGAGTTTTTTAGCAACCAGCACACAAACAGAACCTGTAAGTACATGGTTATTCTGGATAGTAAGGAATTCATTTTTTCTGGTAATCTATCACAGACACTAGTGAAAATTAGAGCCTTGACAGTTCTGATGTAAATCTAGAAACACAGGGAAGACTAGAATTGAGCTCAGTTTGGTTTGGCTGGAGGAATCTGGTTGATTCTGCCTTTATCTTGACGTTACATATGGGCTGGAAATGGAAGGTTCTGGCAGCCTAGCTGAACTGAGGAAAGGTAAATCCACTTAGAAAGACAGATCCACTCTGATCACTTTTGATTGCCTTATTCAAGCTTCCAAAAGATGTTTGCCAGATATGTAACTAGAGATAATGTCTTTATCCAAAATTCCAGCCATCTGGATTGGGGGCTGTCTGAAAAGGGACCTTTTCTTGTCCTAAGAGGTGAGGTTGACTAGCTCATGACAGTTGTGAAAGCTGTCTGGTCCGTTCTACATTCTGCAGCTGGACTGAGCAGATTTCTGACTGGTGGTCCTCACGGGAAGCATTCAGGTTCTCCGGGTTTGGGTCATGACTGTAGGGATCCACCCTGCATCCAGCCCAATTTATTCAAGCTTGAACTGAAATTTAGAGAGCGCTGGGGGGAAGTAGTCAAGGCCAGGGGAAGGGAGGCAAACATATACAAGCAGTCTGAAAGGAAACTGTTTCATAATGTTTATAGATTGGTATCTTGGTGTTGTCTCAGTCATATCTGGCCACTCCATAAAGATTTTGCTAAGGCAGATGATAGGTGACAGACTAGCACCCTCACCGTAAGAATGAGGAAGTTCAGATATGGTTCCTCTGGTCTGAGTGGGATTTTGCTCTGTGGTTTCTAGGAAAGCGCATTCTGTTCAGACAAACTCCAAGATATTTAACCACTCAGCTCTGACTGAGTGCCTAATTATTTATAGCTTGTCTAAAGTTGCTGGGCTTTCCCTCCTTTGATTTTTAAATCATTAATATTTAAAGATCCCACTTATGAAAATTGTAGGTTTGGAGCAGTCTCCTTTCAACAACTGTATGCATATTACTGGCTCCCAGAAGATGGAGCCTTCTTTTTTTTTTTTTTTCCCAAAGATCTTATTTATTTATTTGACAGAGAGAGAAGGAGCAAGACAGCACAAGCAGGGATAGTGGCAGGCAGAGGGAAAAGCAGGCTCTCTGCTGAGCAGAGAGCCCAATGTGGGACTTGATCCCAGGACCTGGGATCGTGACCTAACCCAAAGGCAGACCCTTAACTGACTGAGCCACCCAGGTGCCCCAAAGATGGAGCCTTTTTGAGAGTCAGTTGAGGGAGAGAAATATACTGAGCCAGTAATCTTCAAAATACATGATTAAGATAAATGTTGGACACGGGTGCTTGGGTGGCTTAGTTGGTTAAGCGGCTGCCTTCGGCTCAGGTCATGATCCTGAAGTCCCGGGATCGAGTCCCGCTGAGCAGGGAGCCTGCTTCTCCCTCTGACCCTCCCCCCTCTCATGCTCTCTCTCTCTATCTCATTCTCTCTCTCAAATAAATAAATAAGATCTTAAAAAAAAAAAGATAAATGTTGGACTGAAGTGAGGCTGAAAACCTACCTTTGCTTGATACCTTGGAAATAGAGTTCATAGCCACTTAGCCTTGGAAAGGCCAGACTGCTGGAAACAGTTGATATCATGTACCAGTACTTTTTTTAGATTGGAAGGGATTGCTATTGTGGTCAGCCATTTTTTTTTACCAAGCAGGTGCATTCTTTTCCAATGTAAATGGAATTGAGAATTGGTCAGATCATTGAAAAAGTTGCTTAAATCAGGAAACTGTAAAAGAAGTATATTCTTTTTTTTTTTTAAAGATTTTATTTATTTATTTGAGAGAGAGAGTGAGAGAGAGAAAGAGCACAAGAGGGGGGAGCGGGAGAGGGAGAAGCAGACTCCCTGCCGAGCAGGGAGCCCGATGCGGGACTCGATCCCGGGACTCCAGGATCATGACCTGAGCCGAAGGCAGTCGCTTAACCAACTGAGCCACCCAGGCACCCAAAGAAGTATATTCTTTATTTAAGTGACTTCTTTCTACTCAAAATATCGAAATGTGTAGTAATTTGCTAGTGTTCTGATGTAGACCTAAGTCTTTTCTTTGCTTACAGGTCTGCTGAAGGAAGAGCTCATTGCAGTTTCTGCACAAACCGCCCACGTTGTATTGTCTTGTTCTAGTTTCTCTAACATGGAGCAAGACATTCTAGACACTTATGAAGCAATCAGATTGCAAAACCTTTCTTCGTTTTTATGTTTTTTCCTCCTGATATTTTACAGTTCTCTCACTCATTCCTAGTTTAGTTAGCAATTTTTTGACAGAATTTTTTTTTATTTATTTTTTATTTTTTTTAAAGATTTTATTTATTTATTCATGAGAGACAGAGAGAGAGAGAGGCAGAGGGAGAAGCAGGCTCCCAAGGAGCAGGGAGCCCGATGTGGGACTCGATCCCAGGACCCTGGGATCATGACCTGAGCCGAAGGCAGACGCCTAACCATCTGAGCCACCCAGGTGCCCTGGAATTTTTTTTTTAACGACATGATTTTATTGAGTCTTTCCAAAGCATTCAATCTAGTTTTTGTAGAAATGACCATTCTTTTTTTGTTTACCCTCTTATGACATTGGTCAATACCCTTTTTGTTTGCACTTTTAATTGATTAGTTTATACGTGGATTAATTGACATAATTATAATTAGTGTGTATGATTGACCAAAAGTTTGAAGAGTGTTGGCTAATCTGGTACATTGGTTAAGAGAAGGTTTTGTTAAGAAAGTTTCTACTAAACTATTTGTTATGACCCTAATTTCATAAAAGAAAGGACATTTGAGCACGACCAGGCCAGAATAGTAGGCAGGTTTCCTAAGAAAGGATAGTTGATAGCTTTCTGCCAATATGGTTTAGGCTGTGTGTGTGTAATCTCCTACAAATTGATTGATACTTTGTCCAGGGATGGTACTCACATGTGGTCTAAGGACTGGCAGCCACTGATCTCATTCACACTGTTCTCTGGACATGGATTCTCTCTGCTATATCCCAGCTGGTGTGGCCTAGGGTTCCCCAAAGGCCTCTAGTAATCATATTTGTCTG